GCTCACCCTGTTCCTCCTTGCACAAAGGAGCAGATACTGGTTCTGCTGATGGGTTAAGGACCTTCTATGGCCCCTCTAACTGCCTGTCTCCTGAAATCTCCTGCATGCTCTTGAGACTGTGCTGGGAGACACAGCAAACCTTCTGGCAATGGCATGTCTTGATGTGCCATTCTGGAGGAGTTGGACTGCCTGTAAAACTAGTGAAAAACCGTTAGAAAAGATGAGTAGGGAAAAAAATGTCAGTGGCCTCCACCTGTAAAACCATCCCTGTTTTGGGGGTCATCTCATTGTTGCCCATCTAGTGCACCTGTTGTTAATTTCAATAACACCAAAGCAGCTGAAACTGATTAACAACCCCCCCCCCCCCGCTACTTAACTGACCAGATCAATATAATTGTGCAGATTGTATACTGTATGGGCAGTTTTAAGGGGATTACACAATCCGAGTGTATAGTGTAACGCCAGCTCACTACCGTGTGTTGATTGATTGAACCTATATCTGTATATAACCAGCCCTTAGCTCAGCAGCAACAACCCCACCATCAGCCATCTCAGCAGCAAAGGCGCTCTGGGCCCAACAGCAAGGCTGGCCATAAAAGGCTGCCCCAGTCCTGCTTCCAGTCCCATTCTCTGCCACAGGCCGAACCACAGAATGTCAACATGGGCAATGCCAGTCACAAAGAGCCCTTTAATGAAGAAAGTGAAGCATTCAGCTTCTGGGAGATATTTTACTAGTCCCCAGTAGCAGTCATACATCTACTGATGTGTCACTGATCTAGGTTCAATTGATCGACACATCATAGTGAGCTGGTGTTACACTATGTAGGTGTGTGAGCTAGTGAGTGCACCGTGTGAAGCAGCTAATACACCAAAAAGGAACCACAAAGCCTTTCTTATATATGCAACATAAAATTGGGAGTGCAGCGCTTTAACAATAAATGAATAAATAGATGTGGTATATACAGTTAGCTGGATATAAATCCTACATAAAGGAGTCCTGTAAACTGAATGGTAAACAGTCCAAAGTAATGAATATGACTTCAATCAAAATGAGTGTATTCCAGTATCCCGACATGGAGGTATGGAGAGATTGCCCACTCACCGGAAGCACAATTTTAATGTGTGGATAGAGATCTCATGTAGCCGGAGGTCCTGTGAAGGTATAGCCTGGTAGTGGGAGTATCCTCTGGTGGTCACTCAGATGGCAGGTGCCAGGGATAATGGTCTGGTCTGACACTCTTACTTTTCCAGCCTGGACAGGTACCTGGAATACTGGGCTGAGGTGTGGAGGCTCAGTGCCAAGTAGTAAAGATAAAAGTGCTCATAGTGTAGTATTGTAAAGGTTTATTTAGATATAAATTAAAAAAGTAACAATATGAGCATAAACGCACAGCGTGATTGTGAGTAATAATAAGCTCCTGAATACACTGACCAGTGGAAACCATAGGGTGGCCGCCGGACCTCCTGATCCGGCGGCGTGACGTCAAGGCATGCAAGGGCTCCTCCTAGACGAGTTTCGTGTAATGACACGTCTGCTGTAGGGGTGATGCCATGGCATCAGGAGGTCCGGCGGCCCACCCTATGGTTTCCACTGGTCAGTGTATTCAGGAGCTTATTATTACTCACAATCACCCTGTGCGTTTATGCTCATATTGTTACTTTTTTTATTTTTATCTAAATAAACCTTTACAATACTACACTATGAGCACTTTTATCTGTACTACTTGGCACTGAGCCTCCACAACTCAGCCCAGTATTCCAGGTACCTGTCTAGGCTGGAGAAGTAAGAGTGTCAGACCATACCATTATCCCCGGCACCTGCCATCTGAGCGACCACCAGAGGATACTCCCCCTACCAGGCTATACCTTCACAGGACCTCCGGCTCCATGAGATCTCTATACGCGCATTAAGATTGGTGTTATACTATGCAATCGGATTGTGCAATGTGTAAGTTCACCTTTACAGAAAATCTGTAAGGTGACTTTGCACTGGACCTCCGCCCCATCATCTGCCCCCCCCCCCCCCCCAAGCCCCGCTGTACCAGTGTCCCGTGATCCTCCGCTGTCAGGCACCAGAACGACATTTCACCAGTCTGAGGATTTGAGATCCCCCAAGGCTTAATCTCCTATCTGTACCTTTAAACATATTATTATACAGTATTGATATAGCGCTAAAAGGTTTGCTCAGCGCTGTACATTATAGTGGGGGACAGAACATGAGACAATACAGTAACAAAACAAAACACAAGGGGATCGAGGGCCCTGCTCTTTCGAGCTTACAATCTAGGAGGGATGGGATAGTGGTACAGGAAGAGGTGGCTGTGGGGCATGGAGTGGTAGGAGGAGTGGAGGAGATCAGCTGTTAGGTGAGGGCGGGGTAGGCTTCCCTGAAGAAAGGGGTTTTCAGGGTGCGCCTAAAAGGTGAGGAGGGTAGGTGACAGTCTGATGGATTGGGGTAGTGAGGTCCAGAGGATGGGGGAAGTCCTGGAGAAGACCTGCAGTCTGGATTGGGAGGTGGAGACCAGGGAGCTAGAAAGTAGGAGGTCTTGTGAGGAGCGAAGAGTACGGGTTGGGTGGTATTTGGGTATCAGGTCGGTGAGCTAGTTTGGGGCAGCGTTATGAATGGCTTTGTATGTCAATGTTAGTAGTTTGAATTTAATGCGTTGGGCAATCGGGAGCCAGTGGAGGGAATGACAGAGGGGGGGTGGCAGATGCGGAGCGGTTGGTAAGGTGGATGAGTCTGGCTGCTGAGTTCAGGATAGACTGAAGCGGGGGATAGTCTGCGATGAGGTAGGCCGGTGAGAAGGGAGTTTCAGTAGTCCAGACGTGAGATAATAAGGGAGTGAACGAGTTGTTTAGTAGTGTCCGGGGTTAGGAACGGACGTATTTTGGAGATGTTGCGGAGGTGGAGCTTGCGGGGTGGGACTGATGGTGGAGTTGTTGGTCGTGATGGGAGGGGGGGGTGGGTTGGCGTGGGCTGGGGGGAAAATCAGGAGCTCAGTTTTGGAAAGGTTTAATTTGAGGAAATGGAGCGATATCCAGTCTATGTCGTTCAGTAGGTGGGTGATACGGGCGGAGACTGAAGGGGTGGAGAGGTAAATTTGCGTGTCATCATATAAACAAGAGGCATTCTAATTGGTCAGCACCATCACATGGATGGCAGTGACCAATACTGACCTCTGTAATTGCAAATTAATATCAGCTGGTTCAGTCTTATTATCAAGGTGTCACACAAAACATCACATGATGGATAAAAGCAAAGAGCTTTATCAAGACCTTTGCAACCTTATTGTTGCAAAACATAGTGAAGGCATTGTTTAAAGTATTTTTAAACTTCTGAATGTTCCAGTGAGCACTGTTGGGGCTATAATCCAGAAGTGGAAGAACACCATTTCACCATAAACAAGCCACAACGAGGTGCTCCTCGCAAGATTTCTGACAGAGCAGTGAAAAAAAGCAGGTACAATTGTTTTCAAAGAAAACAATAAGTAATGCACTCAACTGCCATGGCCTGTATGCACTCTTACCAGGTAAGACTCCATTGCTGAAGAAAAAGAATGTTGAAGCTTGTTGAACGTTTGCTGCATAACATGTAGACAAGCCTGTGAAATACGGGGAGAATAGAGTCTGGTCAGATGAGAACAAAATTGAACTCTTTGGATGCCATAATACACACCATGTTTGGAGGTCAAATGGCACTGTGCATCATCACCCCCAAAAACACCATACTAACAGTGAAGTTTGGAAGTGGGAACATCATGGTGTTGGACTATTTTTCAGCATACGGTACTGGCAAACTTCATGTCATTGAAGGAAGGATGAATAAAAAATTGTACCAAGACATTCTTGATAAAAAATTTTTCTGCATTCTATCAGGATGATGAAAATGAAATGAGGGTGGACAAACGCAAAGCCAAGGAAACTTTTGGTTTCAAAGAAAGAAAATAAAGTTGCTAGAATGGCCCAGCCAATCACCTGACTTGAATCCAATAGAAAATCTATGGAAAAAGAACTAAAGATCAGAGTTCATAAAAGAGACCCACAGAACCAGCAAGATTTGAAGACTGTTTGTGTGGAAGAATGGGCCAAAATCACACATGAGCAATGCATGCAGCTAGTTTCTCCATAAAGGAGGCGTCTTGAAGCTGTCATTACCAACAAAGGATTTTGTACGAAGTATTAAATAAATTTCAGTTAGCGTGTTCAATACTTTTTCCATGTCATTCCATTTTTTGCATATAACTTCATTTCTGAACTTTTTTGTTTTGGTTTCTTTGTATGTATGGATTGCATGCATTGTTGTCGACATATGGTGAAAATTTTATGTCAATAGCACTTTTACAAATATTTACTGAGAAAAAAATTATGATGTGTTCACTACTTATTTTACCTGCTGTACAGTGAAGGAAATACCCAAAACACACGGCCAAGGCAAAAAAGGACTGGCTCAAGAAGAAGCACATTAAGGTCCTCGAGTGGCCTAGCCAGTCTCCAGACCTTAATCCGATGGAAAATCTGTGGCGGGAGCTGAAAGTTTGAGTTGCCAAATGTCAGCCACCAAACCTTAATAACTTGGAGAGGATCTGCCAAGAGGAGTGGGCCAAAAAGTGTGCAAACCTGGTGGCCAACTACAGGAAACATCTGACCTCTGTGATTGCCAACAAGGGATTTGCCACCAAGTACTAAGTCATGTTTTGTGAAGGGAATCAAATACTTATTTCCCTCATGAACATGCAAATCAGTGCATAATTTGTTAGACATGCATTTCTTTTGTATTTTTTGTTGCTATTCAGTGTGTCTCTCAGTGTTTACAATACACCTACCATTCGATTTTTAGACTGATCATTTCTTTGTGAGTGGGCAAACATTTAAAATCAGCAGAGGATCAAATACTTATTTCCTTCACTGTACATATATTCCAAAAGATAGAGCAGCACTCAGGAGTCTTAAGAGGTGAACGGAAGACTTTAGTCTTAAATGTTAAGTCTTACAGTTAACTTAAAGCGGAGCTCCACCCAAAAGGGGAAGTTCTGCTTTAAGGACTGCTCCCCATTAAGGATTGGCACCTTTGGGGGGCAGGGGGGAGCGGGTACCAGAATTTGACAGGTACCCGCTCCCACTTCCGATTGCCTAGGTCAGGGGTGGCGAACACGCGGCTCTCGAGCCGCATGCGGCTCCCGGCCAAAATGAATGCGGCTCTTTGCTCTTCTTTGATCTTACCTGTTCCTCTATCCAGCGGCGCGCTGTCTTCCGGCTTCTGTAGTGTGGGCACTGGGCATGACAGCCGGGTGCCAAGTGTGCACGCGCAAGAAGCGGTGCTTTTTGTGAATGGTAAGGCGGTACCTGGGACAAATGACAGATCCCAGAAGCCGCCAGACCAATCACAAAGCGCAAGTGCTTCTCGCTCATGCGCACTGGGCACCCGGCTGTCATGCCGAGCGCCATTACAGAAGCCGGGAAGACAGCGTGCGGCTGGATCGAGGAACAGGTAAGATCAAACAAAAACTCTGCGGAAGTAAGAGCGGGTACCTGTCAAATTCAGGTACCCGCTCCCCACCTCCCCACAGGTCAGCAGTCATCTGTACTGTCCGCAGTCTCTGGTCATCCCTGTGCTGTCCGCAGTCTCTGGTCATCCCTGTGCTGTCCACAGTCTCTGGTCATCCCTGTGTTTTGTAAGGGGAAGAAAGTATTATGGTGAATAATATGGTTTTAATTATGTGTTTTTGTGTGAGTGTTTGTCTGTTTTGGCAGGTCACTGCGTGGTGTGGCTCTCTGACTTTCACAGTTTAAAATTTTGGCTCTTTGTGTCTAACTTGTTCGCCACCCCTGGCCTAGGTGATTGGAAGGTATCCTCCCTCCCTCGCTGTAGTCTTTTGGGAAATGTGACAGGCCCCAGAAGACTACAGGACCATTCATGAAGCGCATGCACAGTGGGTACCCAGCTGTGAAGCCGCAAGCTATCACAGCCAGGTGCACACACTGAAGATGACGGCCTCCTGGAATACAGGATGGCCGGTGAAACGGGCTGCAGGAGACACACTGCGGGACTGAGGGACAGGTAAGTGGCTGTTTTTTAAAAGTCAGCAGCTACAGTTTTTCCTGCCGGTTTACAGTGCAAATTCAATGGGTAGTTGTTCAGCGATTAAAGTTTGATTCTGATTCTACGATTTGGCAGTGTTCTCCGCCAGTCTCCCTCTCTCTGAGTAAGACCAGGGATGGGAGATAAGAAACAAAGACTTGCAGAAAATGTACTAGAATTGTGTTATCTTAGCATAGATAAGCAATTTCCATTTAAGTCTATATAGCTACAAATCGCACCACACTATACTCGCGTAGGACCCTTTTAAAAAAATGTTTTTTTTTAATTTTGCATCGAAATTGCACTGCATATATCTGAACAGCCTCCCACAAAAATCCATGTTATTTCACTTGTCATGTGATTCCGTGTATTCTACTGTAGAACACGAGTAAGATACATAACGAGAGATAGATAGAAAAGATAGATAGATAGATAGATAGATAGATAGATAAAGAGACAGATGGAGAAAGAGACAGGGGGAGAAGAAAAGAGAAAGAAAGAGATAAAGAGACAGGACAGATAAAGAAAATAGAAGAAAGATAAAGAGACAGATTGATAGAGAGATAAATATACAGATAGATAGAGAGACAGATTAAAAGAGAGAAAGGAACATATAAAGAGAGAGACAGAAAAAAGACCGAGAAAAAGAAGGAGATAGAAAGATGAAGATGAGAGGAGAAGAAATATAAATATAAAGGGAGAGATGAGGGATGAAAGATAGATGAGAGCGATAAAGAATAAGTAAGACAATTAGAGGAAAGAAAGGGAAAAAGAGGAGATGGAGAGAGGGAAGATAACAAAAAGATAGATGAAAGAGACGGGGAGGAGGGATCTAAAACCGGGGAAATGATAAGAGAGAGTGATGAAAGAGGGGTAGAGGAGAAAAAGTAGAGGAAAAAGAGGAGGGAGAGAAGGAAGGAAGAGAGAGAGAAGAGAGAGGGGGGAATAAGGGGGAGAGGAAAGAGATGAGGAAAGAAAAAGATGGCACTGGGGTGAATAACGGAATAGAAGAAAGTATGTAGGTGAATGGAGGGGGGAAGGGGGAAGGGGGATGAGAAAAGGGGGAGAAAAAAGGAAAAAATAGCGGAAGAGGAGGGAGAGAAGGGGGGGGAGGTGAGGAGAGGGAAAAAAGTGGAAAAAGAAGGGGGGGGAGAGGGGGAGAGGAACGAAGGGGGTGGGAAAGGGGATAGGGGAAAAGAGGGAGGGGGAGGAGAAAAGAGGGAATAAAGAAGGGGGGTGAGGAAGGGGGGAGGGAGAGAAAAAAGGAGGGGTGGAAGAAGAAGAGGGGAGGGGTGGAGAGAGAAGGGGAAGGCAGGGGGGGGAGGAGAAGACGAGGGGAGGAAGGGGGAAGGGGAGTAGGGGATGTGGGGGGGGGGGGAGAAGGAGAGGGGCCCGGGAAGGAGAAAAGGGGATGGGGACGGGGTCGAAGAAAGAGGAGGAAGGGGGGGAGAGGGGAGAAGGTAAGGAAAAAGGGAAGGGGGTGAAGGGATGAAAAGGGGAGGGGAGGAGGGAGAAAGGGGGAGAAGGGGGGAGGGGGGGGGGGGAGAAGGGAAATAAGGAAAGGGAGGTGGGAGGGGGGGGGAGAGACCTAGAAGAGGAACAGAAAAGAGGAAAGGAGAAGGACGAGGGAGAGGGGAAGCGGGGGGGGGGTACGGGAGAAGAGGGAAAGGGGAGGAGCGAGAAGGGGGGGTGGGGGGAAAAGGAAGAAGAGGGGGGAAGGAAAGAGACGGAAAAGAAGAGGCAAGAAGAGAGGGGGGAGAGGAGGAAGAGGAGGAGAGGGCACAGCCGGCGGGGGAGAAAAGCAGGGGTAGAGAAGAGGGAGAGGGGGCAAGGGAAGAGAAATGAGGGGGGAGAGGGGAGGAGGGAAGATGGGGAGGGGATAAGGGAGGAGGGAGAGGGAGGGAAGAGACGGAGGGCAAGGAGAGGGGGAGAAGAAGAGGGAAGGGGGGAGGGTGAGGGGGGAGAGAGGGAGAAGGGGAAAAGGAGAGGGAAGGAGGTGGGAAGAGGGATGGGGAAGGAGAAGTGAAGACGGGAACCGGGAGCCGAGAAGAGGAAGAGGAGGAGGGGGGAGAGAGAAAGAGGGGGAGGGGGGACTAGAGATCGAGGAGTAGGGTGGGGAAGATAGAGGCGGAGGGGTGCGGAAGAGACAGGAAGACGGGGAAGGGGGAGGGGGAAAGAGGGAGGAGGGGGGAAAGGGGAAGGGGGTATGTGAGGGGGGGGGGGAGCAAGCAGGAGGAGGGAGAGGGAAGGGGGGCTAGTGAGGAGAAGAGGGAGGGATAAAGACGGGGGAGGGGAATGAAGCGAAGGACTCAGGGAGGGCATGTAAGGATAAATGAGGGGTGGGGAAAGAGGAGGGGGAGGGAGGGGGAGTCCGGATGGGAGGAAAGGGGAAGAACAATTAAGAGGAAAGGGGGAGGGGGGGAAAGGGGGGGGAGAAGAAAGTGGGGCGGGGAGGGAAGAGGGCAAGGGGAGGGGAGAATGGAGGAAACGAGGGGGAAAAGGAAAGGGGGGGGGGGGGAGCAAGAGGGGGAATGTGGGGGGAAGGGAAAATACAGAGGAAAGGGCTAAGTGGGGAACAAAAAAAGAAAAGGGAGGGGGGGGATAGGAAGGGGGAAAAGGGATAAGGGGGGGGAATCCAGAAGAGGGAGGGGAGGAGGAGAGTAAGGAAGGAAGAGGGGGGGAAAGGGGAGTGGGGAGAAAGGGGGGCGGAGGAAAAGATCGGAGAGCAAAGGGGGGGGAAGGGGGGTAAATGGGGAGAGAAAAGGGGGGGAGAAGGGGGGGGGGGAAGGGGGGGAGGGGGGAAGAGTGAGGGGGGAGAAAAAAGGGAGGGGGGTGGAGAAAGGTTACGGGGGAGGGGGGGGGGGGGGAACAATGGAGGCAAAGAGAGGCGAAGGGGAAGGGGGATGAGGGGAGTGAGAAAGACATGAGGGAGGAGAGAGGGGCGGAGGGAGGAAAAGGGGTGGGAGTAGGAAGGGAAAGGGAAAAAGCGGGGGGGAGGGGGAGAAAGGTGTAAAAATGGAGTGGGGAGAAAGGGGAGGGCGGGGGGAAGAGGATTGAGGGAGGAGGAGGGGGGAGCTAAGGAAGAGGGCAAAGGAGGGGGAAGGGAGAAAAAAAGGAGGAGAGAGAAGGGGAGGAATGGGGGGGAGAGGGGGAGTGGGGAGAAGGAAAGAGGAGGGAGAGGGGGGGGGAGGGGGGAAGTAAGAGAGGAGGAGGGAGGGGGGGAAAGAAGATGGGTAAGGGAGGGGGAGGAAGAGAGAGGGGGAGTAGAAGGGAGTGGAATGGGGGGGAAGGGGAGGGGGGGGTGGGGGAGGGAAAAAAAGGGAGGAGGGGGGATTGAGGCGGAGCGAGAAGGGGGGAATGGAGGGGGGGAGAGAAGAGGGAGGAGGTGGGGGGGAGGGGAAAGGGTGAGTAGGACAGGGAGGAGGGGGGCACTGGGGGAAGAGAGGAAGAAGAGAAGAGGGAGGAGGGGGGAGAGAGATGGGGGAGGAAGAAAAATGAAGGAAAGCGTGAAAGGAGGGAGAGAAAGGGGAGTACCAAGAGGGAGGAGGAAAGGAGAGAGAGGGAGAGGGAGGGAGAAGCAGGGGGGGGGGGAAGAGACGAGGGGGAAGAGAGAAAGGGGGAACGGAAGGAGGGAGAGGGGGATGGAGGGAGAGGGGGAGGGAAGGTAGGGGGAGATTGGAAAGTAGGGGAAGGGAGGGAGGAGGAAGAAGAGGGGGGAATAAGGGGATGGGATGGGAAAGGAGGAATTGCCTGGAGGAGGGGATAGAAGGAGGGGGAAGAGGGGAGGGAGGGGGGAAAAGGAGAAGGAGGGATGGAGGAGGGGAAGGAGGAGGGGAGGGACGGGGGTTGCGAAAGGGGGGGAGGGGGGATGAAGAGGGGGAGGACTAAGGGGAGGAGGGAGGGGGGAGGGAAGAGGGGATGGGAGGGAAGAGGAGATGGGAGGATCGCAGAGAGAGGGAGGTAGGGGGGAGAGAGATGAAGAGGGAGGAGGGCGGGGGGGAAATAAAGGGGAGGAGGGGGAGAGAGAGAGGGAGGAGGGAGAGAGGGAGAGAACGTGAAAGAGGGGGGAGAAGGAGGAGGGGGGAGAAAGGGAGGGGGAGGGGGAGAAGAGGGGGAAGAGGAAGGGGAAGAGGGGGAAGGAAGGAGAGAGAAGAGGGAGGGGGAGGGAAGAGGGGAGGGGGGGAGAAAGAAAAGGGGGGAGAAAGGAAGGGGGGGGGGGGGAGAGAGGAGGGAAGGAGAGAAGAGGGATGGGGAGTACAGGCGGGGGAGAGAGAAGGAGGGGGAAAGGGGGAGGGAGAATTGAGAAGAGGAGGGGGGGGGAGAGAAGCAGGGAGGAGGGGGAGAGAGAAAGAAGAGGAAAAAGGGGGGGAGGAAGAAGAGGGGAGAGATGTAGGGTGGGCGGGGAGTAGGGGGGGGGGGAAGAAGGGGGGGTAATGAGAGGAGGGGGGAGAGAGTAGGGGGTAAAGGCCGGGGAGGGGCGGGGAAGGGGGGAGGGAAGGGGAGGGAGGGGGAGAGGGGAGGAAGGGGGGAGAAGGGGGAGGGGAGAAAGGGAAGGGGAGGGGGGATGGGTAATAAAGGGAGGGGAGGGGGAGGAGAGGAGGGGGGACGGAAGGAATGAGGGAGTATCCCTGGGAGAGAGAGGGGGGGGAGAAGGAGAGAGAGAAGGGGGGAGAGAGACTGATAGATTACAGATGAGGGGGAGACAGATAAATTATTGTTTTTAAATGCAAAATCCCAATTTGTTTCGCTGTACAAAACACACATTCTCGTACAAAGCCTTCATGCATTAAATTTAAACTCGGATGACTTTCATAATCGCACTACAAAGGTTCTAGTATACCAATGATAGGTGCGTAGAATCTGCCACTTATCGAAATGCACTCTATCACCGTAGTAGGCGCTGGCTTGAGACCGCGTTCAGGGTGGGACGAGCCGCTTTACAGAGGAGGAGCGAGGCGTGAAAGCGGTCCTATTCACCACGCGGAGT